CAGCGATAATAGTCGATCAGGGCCCTCTCATTCCATCCCGCGCTGGCTGCTAAAGTTCTGAACTCCAGCGCGAACTCCTGCGCGCTCCTCATCTCCTGTTGTAGGTCGAACAGACGTTCACCCGTCGACCTCCCCTCTGGTGGATGATCGAATACCGCCCGGAAGCGGCGGGTGAAATCCTCGTAGCGGACAGTACTTGCATCTATTCCTCCCCACTCGCCGTTGGCCCATTCCAGCGCCTTCCCCGATAGACAGGAGATGAGGGCGGACACGCTCTCATATCCCGAGGGCGCCGGGTGAATGGTGGCCAGGTACAGCTCGACCTGGAGGAGAAATCCCTCGGGAGCGAGAGCCGAATCCCACTGGACCCAGATGGCGAAGCGGTGACCAGTGTTGTAGGTGGTAGAGTGGATGGAGATGGTGACAGGATACCACCTCTCTCCCAGCGTTCCATTGTCTGGAATACTCGTTCCATGGTGACCCCGAGAGTCTGAATCATTAATTCCTGACGTTGGACTCGTTCCTCCATCATCTCGGTTACTTCGGCTGCTCCTGCTGACTCCATAGTGGTGCGTGTTTCTGTCACGAATGTCAGTGGAATGCGGTAGGCCAGAGTCAAGCGCAGGACACAGAATGAGATGAAGAACCACTTTACTGAGTAGTAAAGAAATACAAGAAAAACCCTCCAAACAACAAAGGAGGAGCAAAACCCGCTCACAAAATGACACTCGTACAAACAATAATCACGAACACCAAACAGTGGACGTGAACATGTTAAAGAGGAAGACAAACTAACATAATGGGGAACAGGTGTGCAAGAACAGACAATAATCAAGTGAACATATAACATAGAGCGGCAGCAGCTAGTTCTCCGGTGACGACGAACGCCGAAGCCTGCCCGAGCCAGAAGGAAGGGCAGTCTCGGCAGAATCCGTGACAAGGGTATTGCTTGTAAAATTGCGAGATAACTGTCTTAAATAGATATTATGGTTAAAAGAGCGACACCTTATTGTAATGTCTTAGGATACAATTATATGTTTTATTTTGAGTAAAACTTTTTGAATCTTACTGTTTGAAACATGTCAATGTAAGGATTGTGACTGATATCATGAACATGTTGATTATTAGGTTACCGTATTCACATATTAGTCACTATATACTTTTGAAGTATTTGGAGGTATTGATATGGGACTATGTATTCCCAAAGAGTGGGGATTGATGTGGATTTTTAGAGTGGTACATATCTCTGTTGCTATGTAATAACTTAATTGGTTAATATCATGGGGTTTGGTGTGTGTGAGACATAGGAATGTTTATGCTATTTTCATCTGATCTGACCTTTGGTTGAATTCCTCAAACCTAACTAGTCCAAGGCTGTACTGATTTATCAGGGACTGAAACCAGAGTGTTATTCTTTGTATCTCTCCTCAGGCATATTATGGGAACAGAGTCAGGGTTCAACAGAGTTGAACATGGTACCTATTAACAGTCTTGGATTTTCAAGCAATTGGGTCTGAAATGTCACTCATTGGACGCTATTACAGTAGATAAAGGGGGAATGTATGTGATTATAGGGGGATGCATGTTGTACATACTTGCCATATAGGAAGGTTTTGGGAAATGAACTAAAGCTATGGGAAATATATTAGAGAAAGACAGGATTGAAAATGTGTTAACAAGACTACCTCAGTCGATCAGATAGTGCCCCAAGAGAACAGAGAAAATCTTGGGGTTCCTCTGAATGAACATGGAGAATGGAGACATGTCTCCAACATGGAGAATGGAGACACCCCTCAGGGGTGCGTGCTCAGTCCCCTCCTGTACTCCCTGTTCACCCATGACTGCATGGCCAGGCACGACTCCAACACCATTATTAAGTTTGCCGACGACACAACAGTGGTAGGCCTGATCACCGACAACGATGAGACAGCCTATAGGGAGGAGGTCAGAGACCTGGCCGTGTGGTGCCAGGACAACAACCTCTCCCTCAACGTGACCAAGACAAAGGAGATGATTGTGGACTACAGGAAAAAAAAGAGGACTGAGCACGCCCCCATTCTCATCGACGGGGCTATAGTGGAACAGGTTGAGAGCTTCAAGTTCCTTGGTGTCCACATCACCAACGAACTATCATGGTCCAAACACCATGATTAAATGATTAAAATGTCTATTTTGGAATTATGTTCAGTAAATAAACACACACAGTGATTTATTAGACATACAGTGTTGATAAAAAAAATAACATTAAAAAGACTGCTGGTGGCTTTAAGCTTATATTAGAACATGGAGATTAACGACCACAAGATGGCGATGTAATATTAAAACACACAAAAGACAGGTAGGGCATCGTACACACACACAAACATGCACACACACACTTAAACACACACACACACACAAACATGCACACACACACTTAAACACACGCACTCACATACACACACACACACACACCATCCAACAGTCTGTTGCTAGGGATGAACAGAAAGAAAGAAAGAAAGAAAGAAAGAAAGAAAGAAAGAAAGAAAGAAAGAAAGAAAGAAAGAAAGAAAGAAAGAAAGAAAGAAAGAAAGAAAGAAAGAAAGAAAGAAAGAAAGAAAGAAAGAAAGAAAGAAAGAAGCAACAGACAGTGTGGGAGAGTTTTGCAGACGTGTGAAGAGCTCCGAGATGAGGGCACACACAGGAAATAGAGAGGAGAAAGATTTTTATCTTTTTAACATGTCACTCCCTCAGACTCGCTCTCTTTCTCTCCCTCTGTAGAAGTGTATTTGTGTTTGTATTGATTATGGATCCCCATTAGCTGCTTCCAAGGCAGCAGCTACTCTTCCTGGGGCCCAGCATCATTACGACAGTTATTTACAGTTTAAAATAGTACATGACATAACATTGCATAACACTTTACCCAATACATTTAGTGTGTTCCCTCAGGCCACTACTCCACTATCACATATTTACAATACAACATTCATGTGTACGTGTGTGTAGAATGCTTTTCTTATCACAGTCCCCGCTGTTCCATAAGGTGGATTTTTATCTGGATCTTTTATCCGATTCTACTGCTTGCGTCAGTCATGGCTCTATGCTCTATGTAGTACTGTGCGCCTCCCATAGTCTGTTCTTGACTTGGGGATTGTGAAGAGAACTTTGGTGGCATGCCTTGTGGGGTATGCATGGGTGTCCGAGATGTGCGCTAGTAGTTTAAACAGACACCTCTGTGCATTCAAAAACAAGTAATGATGAAGTCAATCTCTCCTCTACTTTGAGCCATGGGAGATTTACATGCATATTACTAATGTTAGCTCTCTGTGTACATTTAAGGGCCAGATGTGCTGCCCTGTTCTGAGCCGACTGTAATTTTCCGAGGTCCCTGTTTGTGGCACCTGACCACACAACTGAACAGTAGTCCAGGTGCGACAAAACTAGAGCCTGTAGGACCTGCCTTGTTGATAGTGCTGTTAAGAAGGTAGAGCAGCGCTTTATTATGGAAGATTTCTCTACTTAGCTACTGTTGTATGAACAAGGAGTTTAGTCACCTCAACTTGCTCAATTTCCATATTATTTATTACAAGATTTAGTTAAGGTTTATGGTTTAGTGAATGATTTGTCCCAAACACAATGCTTATAGTTTTTGAAATATTTAGGACTCACTTATTCCTTGCCACCCATTCTGAAACTAACTGCAGCTCTTTACTTAGTGCTGCAGTGATTTCACTTGCTGTTGTAGCCGACGTGTATAGTGTTGAGTCACCCGCATACATAGCCACACTGGCTTTACTCAAGGCCAGTGGCATGTCATTAGTAAAGATTGAAAAAAGTAAGGGGCCTAGACAGCTGCCCTGGGAAATTCCTAATTCTACCTGGATAATGGAGAGACTTCCATTTTTTAATTTTTTAATTTAACTTTTATTTAACTAGGCAATGTACAATATTTACAATATAGCAGGGGGTGTAAAGCCATAACACATATGTTTTTACATCAGCAGACTACGATCAATAATGTCAAAAGCCACACTGAAATCTAACAAAACAGCACCCACAATCGTTTTATTATACATTTCTCTCAGCCAATCATCAGTCATTTGTGTAAGTGCTGTGCTTGTTGAATGTCCTTCCTATAAGCGTGCTGAAAGTCTGTTGTCCATTTGTTTACAGTAAAATAGCATTGTATCTGGTCAAGCACCATTTTTTCCTATTCTTGGGTAGCAGAATTACTTTTACACTTTCTAGTAGGCTTAGAATGAAGATATGGCAAATAGGAGTGGCAATATCGTCCGCTATTATACTCAGTAATTTACCATCCAGTCACAACAGAGATATAGGGTTATAGTTAGATTCAAACAGATCCCGCGCTAGCCGACATCCGCATTAGAGCTGTCAAATCCACAAGCCGCTCCTTGCGTTACGCTATCATGAACACTGCAATGGGATGCAATGAAACCACACCTGATTTATAATCCAACAAATCACATGCAGCTGCATTACAAATTCAAACACTGGAATGCGTGATGTTCTGTTGTCTACACCTCGATTAAACTAATAGGCAATAAATCCCTCCATCCAAAATAAGATGAAAACATGCATTAGCCTACACTTTCTCTCAACTTTTTGAATTCCTAACCCGGTGGGGACACACAAGAGCAGCCACTCACCTATTTGTTAGCTCATACCGCAGTTACACCAACACCGCCAAAACGCGGGTTATTAACGCTTGATCTGATTGAATTAAGGCCTTAGTCTTTACTGGAGATGCTGTGGTTCCTGATTAAGTTAGGGTTAGGGTAGATGATTGTCCATGATGAGGTGCCATGCATGCTTGAGATAGATAAACCTTACAGAAATTTACATTTTAACCAGTGGCATTTATTTTATAGCCTTGGTAGCATATTTTTCATTTGTCAGTTAGAAATTATCTTACTTTAAAAACAAAACATACTATTTATTTTCTGACATGACTATGTAGTTGAGTTGTAATCAAATATAGCAACAATAATGTACATGTCTTACAAACACATTTTAAAGACCAATATAGAACATCAATACTACAAATGTAGAGAGAATTAAAGGATCACATTGAAGTTATTCAAACTGAAACCAAATGCTATTAACTAATGACTAGCACAGTGACAACACAAGAATACAGGCCCACATCAAGAATGTCTGTCTCTAGCGTAGTCTGTCTCTCTCTCTGTGTCTCTAGCTGTTGTCTACTGTTTGTAATGATTCTCAGTGGTGTGAGTTGGTGGCGGGCTGCTAGGGTGTGTGTGTGCCTTCATGCTACCAAGGTGTGTTTGACTCTGTTTGGTGACAGGGTGCGTGTTACTCTGCATGGTTACGGGGTAGAGGAGAGGTGTAGCAATGCCTTGGCCTGGTTTCTGGAAAGCTGTTATCAAGTTCTTCATTTTCCGAAAGTATCGTTTCTCCACGCCGGGAGCAGTCTAGAAGAGAGATAGATAGAGAGGGTGAGGAATAAAAAAAGAGGGGGGAGAGAAAGAGAGAGGGGAGAAAGAAACAGGAGGGATCAGGAATAACATCAGTTAGTGTGGTGGCGAGAGCTTGAGAAAGAATTAGAGAGAGAGACAGAGAAAGAGAGAGACAGGAGGTCTGGTGTCTTACCTCTGCTGTCCAGGAGCCTCCACCATCCAGGGACAGCCTATATGTGTACACATAGCCTTTAAACCTGCACACACACACACACACACACACACACACACACACACACACACACACACACACACACACACACACACAGTAAGTTTGACCATGCACATAGCAGTATGTGCTTGTATGTACGACCATAGGACAATCACAGTGTCAGTATTACTGTGCGTGTGTGTGTTTGTGTGTGTGTGTGTGTGTGTGTGTGTGTGTGTGTGTGTGTGTGTGTGTGTGTGTGTGTGTGTGTGTGTGTGTGTGTGTGTGTGTGTGTGTGTGTGTGTGTGTGTGTGTGTGTGTGTAAAGTACTTAAGTAAAAATACTTTAAAGTATTTTTGGGGTACAGAGCCTTCAGAAAGTAATCACACCCATTAACTCTTTCCACATTTTATTGTGTTACAGCCTGAATTTAATATGGATTAAATTGAGATTTTGTCACTGGCCTACATTTTACATTTTACATTTTAGTCATTTAGCAGACGCTCTTATCCAGAGCGACTTACAGTTAGTGAGTACATACATTTTCATACTTTTTCATACTGGCCCCCCGTGGCTACACACAACACCCCATAATGTCAAAGTGGAATTATGTTTTTCAAAACTTTTACAAATTCATTAAAAATGAAAAGCTGAAATGTCGTCAGTTAATAAGTATTCAACCCCTTTGTCTAAATAAGTTCAGGAGTAAAAATGTTCTTAACAAGTGACATATAAAGTTGCATGGACTCACTCTGTGTGCAATAATAGTGTTTAACATGATTTTTGAATGACTACCTCATCTCTGTACCCCCACACATAAAATGATATGTATTGTCCCTCAGTTGAGCAGCGGATTTCAAATTCAACCATAAAGACCAGGGAGGTTTTCCAATGTTTTCCAAGGGCATCTATTCGTAGATGGGTAGAAATAAAAAAGCAGACATTGAATATCCCTTTGAGCATGGTGAAGTTATTAATTACACTTTGGATGGTGTATCAATACACCCAGACACTACAAAGATACAGGCGTCCTTCCTAACTCAGTTACCGAAGAGGAAGTAAACTACTCAGGGATTTCACCATGAGGCCAATGGTGACTTTAAAACAGTTACAGACTTTAATGGCTGTGACAGGAGAAAACTAAGGATGGATCAACAACATTGTAGTTACTCCACAATACTAACCTAATTGCCAGAGTGAAAAGAAGGAAGCCTGTACATAATAAAAATATTCCAAAACATGCATCCTGTTCGCAACAATGCAATAAAGTAATACCACAAAAATATGTGGCAAAGCAATTATCTTTTTTTCCTGAATACAAAGTGTTATGTTTGGGGGCAAATCCAAAACAACGCATTATGGCGTACCATTCTCCATATTTTCAAGCATAGTGGTGGCTGCATCATGTTATAGGTATTCTTGAAAACATTAAGGACTGGGGAGATTTTCAGGATAAAAGAGAAACAGAATGGAGGTAAGCACAGGCAAAATCCTAGAGATTTCCTGCTTTCAAGTCTGCTTTCCACCAATCACTGGGAGATGAATTCACCTTTCAGCAGGACAATAATCTAAAACACAAGGCCAAATCTACCCTGGAGTTGCTTACCAAGAATACAGTGAATCTTCCTGAGTAGCTGAGTTACAGTTTTGACTTACATCTGCTTGAAAATCTATGGCAAGACCTGAAAATGGTTGTCTAGCAATGATCATCAACTAATTTGAAAGAGCTTGAACATTTTAAAAAGAATAATGGGCAAATGTTTCACAATCAAGCTGTGGAAAACTCTTAGAGACGTACATTTTACCAGATGCTCTTATCCAGACCGACTTACAGTAGTGAGTGCATACATTTTCGTACTGGTCCCCCGTGGGAGTCAAACCCATAATCCTGGTGTGATAAGCGCCATGCTATACCAACTGAGCTACACAGGACTCCAACTGAGTTTACCCAGAAAGACTCACAGCTGTAATCACTGCCAAAGGTGTTTCTACAAAGTATTGACTTAGGGGTGTGAATACTTATGTAAATGAGATATTTCTGTATTTCATTTTCAATAAAACATGTTTTCACTTTGTCATTATGGAGGTATTGTGTGTAAATGTGTGAGACACAATTATTTTTTTAATCCATTTGGAATTCAGACTGTAGCACAACAAAATGTGGAATAAGTCAAGGGGTATGAATACTTTCTGATGGCACTGTATCTGTACTTTACTATTTATATTTGTACTACTTTTACTTTTACTCTACTACATTCCTAAAGAAAATGTGTACTTTTTACTCCCATACATTTTCCCAGACCCATACATTTTCCCTGACACCAAAAAGTACTTGTTACATTTAGAATGCTCAGGCAGGATATAATTATGGTCCAATTCACGCACCTATCAATATAAGGTGTTGTCATCCCTACTTCCTCTGATCTGGAGGACTCACTAAACACAAATACTGAGTTTGTAAATTATTTCTGAGTGTTGGAGTGTGACCCTGTCTGTCCGTAAAAATTAATTTACAAAATGCTGTCGGTTTGCTTAATATAAGGAATTTGATGTATAGCATTTACTTTTACTTTTAAGTATGACAATTGAGTACTTTTCCACCACTGTACTTAAGTACATTTAAAAACAGATACTTCTAGACTTTTACTCAAGTAGTATTTTACTGGGTAACTTTTACTTTAACTTGAGTCATTTTCTATTAAGTTATCTTTACTTTTACTCAAATATGACAATTAAGTACCTTTTCCACCACTGCACTACTGCATCCTGTATCAAAAGGTTGGTTGGTCCTCATTGAAGTCCTGTAGATCACTTAATTACTCAATTTTTGTTTACAAAGCTCTACTACACAAGCTTCCAACTTGCTAAAGTATTAAAGTATGAGATACCAAACTCGCTCGCAGGGTCGGTTAACTCTTGAGGTCCCTCTGGTCTCTACCAATTTAGGTAAATCCTCCTTTAGTTTTAGTGCCCCCCATTGTTGGAATAAACTGGAAAATACCTTGCATCTTGATTCCCTGGTACCGGTAAGGCAGTTTAGGACTCTGGTGTAAAACGTATTGAGGATAGAAGTTGTTTTGATTGATTGTAATGGTTTATTTGTTGAAAAGAAAACAAGAAATCGTGCTATCCGGTTTGCTTAATATAAGGAATTTGATGTATAGCATTTATTTTTACTTTTACTCAAAGTATGAATATGTACTACTTTTTTTCACCACTGTACTTCATATATTTAAAACCAAATACTTTTAGAATTTTACTCAAGTTGTATTTTAATGGGTGACTACTTTTCTTGAGTCAATTTCTATTAAGGTGTTTTTAATTTTACTCAAGTATGACAATTTAGTACTTTTTCCACCACTGTGTGTGGAAGATACTCACAGCACACAGAGGCAATAGAGCCCAGCTAGACTCTCACTGTTGCGTATCAGGTAGCTGCCGTCCCGTCCTGCCGTCCACAGCCTCATCTCCCCTTCCTCTTTGCTGATGGCTCCGTGGTACACGGCTAGTTTCTCCTGTTCCATGGCTCTGGACCACTCAACACTACTATACTGCTAACCCTAACACTATGCTCTCAATATAGCAGACTTTCAGCCTCCTAACCTCCAAGCTCCAAGCTCAGAACACCAGCTGATCACCTCCCTTTCTGTAATGTCTGGCAGATCTCAGTTTTCTCTTATCTGAGTGCGCGCAAGCCAAGTATCTAACCTCTCACCTCACTCTGTCTCTCTTTCCCTCGCTCTCTCTCCCTCTCTCTCTTTCCCTCTCTCTCTTTCTCTCTCTCTCCCTCTCTCACATTTAAGTTTCATGGTAGCTTTGCAGCTCTCTCAGGAAGTTAAGTCATACTGACAGGAAACAACATCAAAAGCCTCAAACTGAATATTTCCACAACAATAGAGATCAAGAACAGGGGAAAATATCAGTTTGACACTTCTGAATGAAAATACTGATGATGCACTGTGCAGAGAGCTGTTGCCTGCGTAACTATCTCCGTGCAAAACATTGTTAAGGGGAAAACAGGCCGCACCAACAGACAATTATTAGCAGTGGGTGGCCACAGGGAAATTAATATAAAATGCCACCAATGTTCTTTGGTAGGAGGCCGTGAGAGCCAGTTTCGTCATAGCGCTTGATGGTTTTTGCGACTGCACTTGAAGAAACTTTCAAAGTTCTTTAAATGTTCCGTATTGACTGACCTTCATGTCTTAAAGTAATGATGGACTGTCGTTCCTCTTTGCTTATTTGAGCTGTTCTTGCCATAATATGGACTTGGTCTTTTACGAAATAGGGCTCAAACACATTAAGAAGGAAAGAAATTCCACAAATGAACTTTTAAGAAGGTTAATTGAAATGCATTCCAGGTGACTACCTCATGAAGCTGGTTGAGAGAATGTCAAGAGTGTGCAAAGCTGTCATCAAGGCAAAGGGTGGCTATTTGAATAATCTAAAATCGAAAATATATTTTGATTTGTTTAACACTTTTTGGGTTAGTACATGATTCCATATGTGTTATTTTATAGTTTTGATGTCTTCACTATTATTCTACAATGTAACAAATAGTAAAAATAAAGAAAAACCCTTGAACGAGTTGGTGTGTCCAAACTTTTGGCTGGTACTGTATGTAGAGACAGAGCAATTTCCCTCTACTCTACAGTAAACTGCCTACCTAAGCTTTGTATTTAATATATTTTTTTGTGTGGTTTGTTGTTTCTAATGTATGTTTTGTTATGAAAGTATTACTTAAGTATTTCATATTTTCATATGGGTTATATACATTCCAACCTCATTCAAAAAGCATGTTCCCGTGGTATATCAAATGTGTAGAACCACATGTGCAATGTACTGTATTTCAAGCATTGTTTACTGTAACTGTGAAAGAAAATACCAATAAAAAGAGTTGCAAAATGTATATATATATATATTTCATGTGCTGTATGGAACTATACAGAATAATAGAAAAGGCATGCATCATATTTGTAGTCTACTGGGCCAGGAATCTCCAGGTTAGTACAGGGTAGTATGGGGTAATACAGGAGGTAATGTAGTAATACAGGGTAACATATGATAGTATGGGGTAATACAGGGTAGTATGGGGTTAATACAGGGTAGAATGGGGTAATACAATATGGGTTAATACATGGCAAATGGGTAATACAGGGTACAGTAATATGTTGTTGTGGCCTAGTCAGTAATAAAATAATATGTTTTAGTGGCCTGACTGGTTAGAGTGTAATATGTTGTAGGGGACTGACCAGTTGTAATGTAATATGTTGTAGTGGCCTGATCATTTATAATGTAATATTTTGTGGTGGCCTGAATAGGACCAGTAAGAATGTAATATGTTTTAGTGGCCTGACCAGTTATAATGTGTATTGTTGTAGTAGCCTGACCAGTTATAATGTAATATGTTGTACTGGCCTGACCAGTAATACTATAATATATTGTAGTGTCCTGAACAGTAATACTATAATATGTTGTAGTGGCCTTACCAATTATAATGTAATATGTTGTACTGGCCTGACTAGTTATAATGCAATATGTTTTAGTGGCCTGAACAGTTATAATGTAATGTTTTGTAGTGGCTTGATAAGGACCAATAATAATGTAATACAGTAGGTTGTAGTGGTCTGACCAGTTATACAAATATATGTTTTACAATATTACATTGTTTTAATGTAATATCTTGTAATGTCCTGACCAGTAATAATGTTATAGTGGCCTGACCAGTTATAATGTAATATGTTGTAGTGGTCTGACCAGTAATAATGTAATATGTTGTAGTGGCCTGACCAGTTATAATGTATTATGTTGTAGTGTCCTGACAAGTAATAATATAATATGTTGTAGTGGCCTGAACAGTTATAATGTAATATGTTTTAATGCGCTGACCAGTAATAATGTAGTATGTTGTAGTGGCCTGACCAGTTATAATATAATATGTTGTAGTGGCTTGACAATGACCAATAATATTATAATATGTTGTACTGGCCTAACCAGTTACAATGTAATACATTTTAGTGGCCTGATCAGTTATAATATAATATGTTGTAGTGGCCTTACCAGTAATAATATAATATGTTATAATGGCCTGACTAATTACAATGTAATATGTTTTAGTGGCCTGACTAGTTATCATGTAATTTGTTGTTTTGGCCTGACCAGTTATAATGTTTTATGTTGTAGTGTCCTTAACAGTAATAATATAATATGTTGTAGTGGCCTCACCAGTTGTAATATAATATGTTTTAGTGCGCTGACCAGTAATAATGTATGATTGGTTAAAAGGGTATTTGAAACGCAGGTGTGGAATCGAAGCAGGTTAGGATAATTAACGTAGCAGGTTAGGATAAATAACGTAGCATGTTAGAATAATTAACGTAGCAGGTTAGGATAACTAAAGTAGCAGGTTAGGATAATTAAAGTGGCAGGTTATGATAATTAACGTGACAGGATAGGATAATTAATGTAATAGGTTAGGATAACTAATGTAGCATGTTAGGATAAATAACCTGGCAGGATAGTATAATTAACAAAGCAGGTTAGGAGAACTAATGTGTCAGGTCAGGATAATTAACGTAGCAGGTTAGGAAATGCAGGTTTAACTGAAATGCTACAACTGTTATCCCCAAAGTGACAACTAGATGGAACTGTACTGCTAGCCACAACCTTATTAACCATCAATCTCGACAAACCATCTGTATCATAGTTCATCAGAACTTGCATGGAGATAATAATGAGAAGAAATGTACTTTTCTAAGATATTCATTGTTAACTATTTAGGATTTCATGTAATGTACATTACCAGTCAAAAGTTTGTACACACCTACTCATTCAAGAGTTTTTCTTTATTTTTACTATTTTCTACATTGTAGAATAATAGTGAAGACATCAAAACCATGAAATAACACATATGAAATCATGTAGTAACCAAAAAAGTGTTAAACAAATCAAAATATATTTATATTTTAGATTCTTCAAAGTAGCCACACTTTGCCTTGATGGCAGCTTTGCACACTCTTGGCATTCTCTCAACCAGCTTCACCTGGAATGCTTTTCCAACAGTCTTGAAGGAGTTCCCACATATGCTGAGCACTTGTTGGCTGCTTTTCCTACAATCTGTGGTCCAACTCATACCAAACCATCTCAATTGGGTTGAGGTCTGGTGATTGTGGTGGCCAGGTCATCTGATGCAGCACTCCATCACTCTCCTTCTTGGTCAAATAGCCATTACACAGCCTGGAGGTGTGTTGGGTCATTGTCCTGTTGAAAAACAAATTATAGTCCCACTAAGCGCAAACCAGATGGGATGGCGTATCGCTGCAGAATGCTGTGGTAGCCATGCTGGTTAAGTGTGCCTTGAATTCTAAATAAATCACAGACAGTGTCACCAGCAAAGCACCGCCACACCATCACACCTCCTCCATGCTTCACGGTGGGTACTACACATGCAGAGATCATCCGTTCACCTACTCTACGTCTCACAAAGACACGGCGGTTGGAACCAGAAATCTCAAATTTGGACTCATCAGACCAAAGGTCAGATTTCCTCCAGTCTATTGTCCATTGCTCGTGTTTCTTGGCCAAAGCAAGTCTCTTCTTCTTATTGGTGTCCTTTAGTAGTCGTTTCTTTGCAGCAATTCGACCATGAAGGCCTGATTCATGCAGTCTCCTCTGAACAGTTGATGTTGAGATGTGTCTATTACTTGAACTCTGTGAAGTACTTATTTGGGCTGCAATTTCTAAGGCTGCTAACTGTAATGAACTCATGGCTCATGAGAGACAGTTTCATCATAGCGCTTGATGGATTTTGTGACTGCACTTGAAGAAACTTTCAGTTTCCGGATTGACTGACCTTCATGTCATCTTTGCTTATTTGAGCTGTTCTTGCCATAATATGGACTTGGTCTTTTACCAAATAGGGCTATCTTCTGTATACCCCCCTACCTTGTCACAACACAACTGATTGGCTCAAACACATTGAGAAGGAAATAAATACCACAAATTAACTTTTAAGAAGGCACACCTGTTAATTGAAATGCACTCCCGCACCTCAGACTCCTGGAGCGGAAAAGACACCACCAGCCTGAGGAGAGAAACATGGGAACGAGGGGTTAATACGGTAATCTGGAGGGAGTAGTAACCTATTGGTAACCTCGTTTATCCTCCTCAGGACTTTGAACTGCCCCACAAACCGTGGGCTCAGCTTCATGCAGGGCAGGCGTAGAGGCAGATTCCGGGTCGAGAGCCAGACCCGATCACCCGGTCCGAAGACCGGGGTCTCTCTGCGGTGGCGGTCAGCGCTGGCCTTCTGGCGATGCACGGTGCGCTAGATTAATCCACCGCAGGAGCTTCAGTCTGGCTCTGATGCCACGGTGCCAGGACCGGCTGATAACCTAAAACACATTGAAATGGCGATAGGTTAGTGGAGGAGCGGCGGAGAGAGTTCTGGGCATATTCGGCCATTGGTAAGAACACCGACCGGCCGGTCCTGGCAGTAGGACCGCAGGAACCTACCCATATCCTG